GGTGTGGGTAGTAGCCAGGGCTGTTGAGGCTCTTAAGTGTGATCCTTTCGAGCTTGAGCAAGTCTTAATTGCTGGCAGGGAGAGCTCTGATTCCCAGATGGGGAGGCCGAGGCCCAGAGAGAAAAGTCTTAACCAAGCTTAAACTATTTGTAAAGAAACCACCTGAAGGCAGGACCCAGACTCCAAGCCGTGTGGCCCCCTCCCCACCCCCGACCCCCATGCCCACCAGCCCAAACCAAGCCAGTGACCGTCCAGTCCCTTCCTGCGTGCAGACTGTCCTGTGGGATTTCTCTCGACTGTCATCTTGACCCTTCCCGGGGACTTTCTTCCACGAGGTGGGCTACAACAGCCCACCCAGGGAGCTTGCCCTGTGCACCCAGTAATCCGAGTCCCCCTGTGCTTCTCTCCCATCTTCCCTAGGGTGGCTCCTTCTCACACCGGCCCAAGGAGAAGGTGCGGACCGATAGCAACAACGAGAACTCCGTCCCCAAAGACTTTGAAAACGTGGACAATAGCAACTTCGTCCCCAGGACACAACAGCAGAAGCCCCCGCCCGAGCTGGCCAAGAAGCCCCCTGGGAAGCCCAAGGAGTTTTTGACCAAGAAGCTGGAGCAGGGGCTGGACAAAAGGAGGGGCCGCCCTTTCCTGGGCAAAGGCGCCAACGAGGTGCTGCCCCCTGGCGAGAGAGCCCCGGCCAACAGCAGCCACGCCAAAGATGCCCCCCACCTGGCCCATGCCAAGAAGAGTGGAGGCGGCTCCCCGGAGCTCAAGTACAACCAGCCCCCCAAGTGTGACATCTCGGGCAAGGAAGCCATCTCAGCCCTTTCCCGATCCAAGTCCAAGCACTGTCGCCAGGAGATAGCAGAAGCCTACTGCAGCCACAAGCTGGGGCGCCTGATGCCCGAGAAGGTGGCTCGCCTCTGCCCCCTGGAGGGTAAGTTCCGCCTCCCTGAATCTCAGCCCCAAGATCAGAACTCAGTTCCATGTGGGTGGGTTCGCCCTCCTTGTGGGCCAAGTGTAGACGTTTGACCGAAGTAGAAACATCCCTTTGTTATGGGCTGAAGCGGCTGTCTTTAAGAGGAGGGTAGGAAGGACCATGAAATCGGGCGGAGGGTGGAGATTTCAGGATGGCTGGCTGGATGGGGCCCCAGTTTCTCCCTTTGTGCATTTGGCGGGAATGCTATTTGAAAGATTTCTCACGGGCTGCCTTGGTTTGAAGAGTCTTGGTGAGAAAGAACCTTCCCAGGTTGCTCCATCTCAGATGTTTCCTTGCCTCTTGCTTCCTTTCCCAATCCCTCCCTCTCCCCTGCCCGGCTCCTCGGTGTATCCACCCCTGCCTTCCCTGTGCCTTGGGACTCTTCTCTCAGCTGATGACCTGGGGATAAGTCAGGCTGTGCTGTCCTGTGCTCATGGGGAGTTCATAAGCAGGCGGTGTCACCAATGTCCCCCGCATCTGCAGTCACACCGTCGGGCTACATTTTGCCTTATCTGTGGCAGGGGACAGCGGGGCTCATGGTAGCGGCTAGCCTCAGTGGGACGTTCTGGGTGCTGGGTTCTGGACTAGGTATCGTCTCCCCTCACTGCCCGCGCTGAGAGGCTGCTGTTCGTACTCACCTCATTTTTTCTGATGGGAGAGGGAGGGGATGTAACTACCCGAGGTCACCCAGGCTGGAAATGACCTTGCTAAGGGGAGGCGTTGCCCTTTATTGTCCAACTAATTCAAAGTCCAGTGATGCACAACTGACAGAGGAAGCATGCCACCACACCTGCTTCCAACTCCTTGGTCCCATAAGAACTTACAGGGTGCTGCTGACCACTGCAACATTGTAAGCCCCCATCTAGAGCCAGGAGAGAGAGAGAGAGAACATGCGCTAGGGGAAATACACCTGTGTGTTGGAGTGCACGAGGTGACTAACATCTCTGAGCACCTACCAGTTGCTGCCACTGTGCTGGGTTCCTATGTTAGACAGGGTTCTCTAGAGGAAAAAAACCCAGAACACTAAGAATTTTACATATATTTAGATAGATGATAACATAAGAAATAAACAGTTAATTAATCTATAAAGCAGTACAAATAACTCAGTGCAACTCACTTCCATGAGACAGCTAATATACTGGCAGTCCTTCAAGTCTTGAGGGCCACCGGGCAGTCCTCTGTAGAGCAATTCAGGCTATCTGACCACGGGCAGAAAACAGCAAGGCAGGTCACCAACAGTCTGCCAGATGACAGGGTCCGACAGTCCCCAGCTCAAGTGATGTATATTCCAGTAGCACAGTGAAACAGGTCTTGAAGGAACCTCAAATTACATCATCACAGTCCACGGGTTAGGTGTCCCACAGGTAGTGTAGTTTGCAAATTGAGGCACAGAACAAGCAAGGCAGGTGCACACTGGTCCGATCGCCAAAGAGCAAGAGACAAGAAAGGTGAGGCTCCCCCCTTCAATTAATCCCACGTGTTCATTGGCCATGTTGGCACAATAAACCTACCTATCACAGTGCCCCATTTCTCTTTCGTATACCTGTGAAGACCCCTGACAGACAAGGAAGCCCAGACTCAAAGAGGCTGCGCTAGGTGGTAGAGCAGGAATTTGACTTCAGAGAGCATCGTGTGATCCCAAAGCCAGTGGTCTTCCCACTGAACACATGGCGAATGGACGGTGTCCCTGATGCCCCAGAAAGGTCCTGGCAAGCTTGCGGGCATGGGGATACCATGGAGTGAGGCTATGCTGTGAGAGCCAAGTGCATGCCATCCCATCCACATGCTGGCCCTTGGCCTGGTGACCCTGACCTTGTGTTACTTCAGCCTTAACCTAAAGACAACAAGCCGTCTCCATGTGTGGTGATGTGTACACGAGACGGGAGCATGTGTGTGCCCGGCCCGTGGGGCACACAAGCAAATGGCAGCTCCTTCTCTTACACCACTTCCGAGGGCACCTGGGCTCTTGGGGCTGGGCTGGAGGGGAGAGCCCGAGACTGGCCTGGCTGTGGGACTCCTGGGGAAGAGCAAGTGGCAGAGGAATGGGCCCATGCTCAGGACCAGCCAGACAGTGCTCAGAGAACCAGGCTCCTCCACTGCAGTCAGGGAAGGGCTCTTAGACGCCCCAACCTGGGCACATTCAAGAGCCAGCCCAGCTTTGGAGGGCTCTGGAGTCTGAGCCAGGCCCTCAAAGCCCCTCTTGGTGCCACAGAGACTTATGTGTCGAGAGAATTGGCCTCAAGGAAAAGTAGATGGAAAAGACCCCCAGTGACATCTTCCCTGCGCCCCTGGGATGGGGAGGCATGAGAGCAGGCTTCGCCCAGCTGACCAGGGGCTGAACTGGAACTCAAAAGCAGGCCTCCCCTTTCAGACCTGTGCCTCCGTTTACCACTGGTCAAAGAAAGGGTCTGGGATTAGGTAGCTGGTGGTCCTCGTCCGGCGGCATGTAGAGAGAGGGCAGGAGGACACGGCAAACCTTTCCTTCGACCCCCGTGGGGACAAATAGCCACAGGCCCAAGAACAGAGGTGGGGCAGCTCTTACTTTCCTCGGGCTCTTGTGCCTTGGTCTGAGTTTGTGTGGTGAACGTACACCGCACCACGCTGGCACAGGTGAAAGCGCCATTCACTTATGGGACGGGATCCTCGGCAGTTGACTTCCGCGGACAGTGCCCACCTGCACTGATAGGACTGCAGACCCCAGTGAGGAATAATTAATTAAGTGAAACGAGCCTCCCCCGAGCCCTGTGCTAGCCTGTGGCAGGCAGAGAACAGGAGGCCTGCGTTCAGCCTCCTCCCACGGCAGTAGCACCGACCGCCCTCTGTGTCCATGGCTGGCACTCATCCTCTGTGGCTCTGTAGCCCACTCCGTCTCTTTGCAGCCGCTCAGCTCGGCCAACAGACAGCGTGAAGGAGCCGCCCTTGACAATACCTAAATACATGCTCTAGGCTGCGGTTCAGCCTGGCAATGGCCAAACCCTGCAGTGGGCCGCAGTGGCCCTGGGGCCAGTTGCTGGGTCCCGCTATATACTAATACTCGGTGCTCCTCTGCTTCCTCTGCTTTTGTGTCTTGTCCCATCAGTGGTCAGACCAGCTCCCGGAGGTGAGGCCACTAGAAGCCCATTGTGTGCATTGACAACAGAGGGTCCAAAAGACTGAGGGAGGAACTAGCCAGAGGCACGTGGCTAGCCATGGGGCGCAGGGGCAGAGCTGGTGTCTGGACTCCGTCTCATTTCTCAGGTGTCACTCGGGTGCTGGCCATCAGGCCCACCAGAGAGCCCGTGACGGCCAGCGTCTTTCCATTGTCAGTCCTACGGGGAGCCTTGCGTATGTTCACAGGGAGAAGGCTCTGCCGTTGCCAGTCTTTACGAGCTCAGATCTGAAGTTTCACAGCCTGGGTTCAAACCCCAGGCCCTGTGAACAAGCTGGGGGACTTTGGGCTGGCTGCCTCACCACGCGGGAGCCCAGCACAGCCACACCCTCGCCGGGCAGCGAAGCCTTAGTCCCTGCCAGCCCCGGCCAGGTCGGTGAGCCATGCATGCCAGAGCTCCATCCTCTGCCCACGGGTTTCAGTGGCTGCTATCGCACACGCATAGATCACCTGGCCTGGCTTTAGCGGTGCCTCCAGGTGGATCTTCCGGTTAGCAGGCCCGAGCCTTTCTATTTGTCTTGGTTGCCTGGCACTGCTGTTGCGGAAGTGCCCCATGGGGTGGCTTCAGCAAACTGAAAGTCAGCCCCGCCCAGCTGGGGAGGCTCGCTGCAGGAAACCCCTGCCTCTCGCCACTTCTCCTCCCCGACCACCAGTGCCGTCTCTCCTTCCCCTCGGCACTTCCTGGCCTCTGAGCCTCATCTGCTTCTCCTCTGCCTGAAAGGAGATAGGCATTAAGCACCGGCTGGGCTGATAAGGCCTCATTCACATAACACAGCAGGGCTGTTCCCAAAGGGAATTACATCACAGGCACAGAAAACAAACAGCCAAACCCAGTGCTGCAGACACTTGACTCATGGAGACCCGAGGGTGCCCGAGTCATGAGTTGCAGTACCTATTTTGGGTGGTGCTGGGATGGGGCACAACGCAAGCCCTCATCAAACCAAACCTGTTGCCATAAAGTGTGTTCAAACTCCTTCCAATGCTGATAGCAAAGAGCAGAGCTGCCCCAGCTGCTTTCCAGGACTGAGATCGCTACAGAAAGAGTGCCGCCTCTTTCTTCTAAGCAGTGGCTAGTAGGCTAGAACCACTGACCTTTGGATGAGCCGCCATGCGCTTACCTCAGTGCCACCAGGGATCTGGGCCATCCATGATAAGAGAGTTAAAAACCTACTGCCGTCAAGCCAATTCCCACTCATTGTCACCCTGCGCAGGGCTGTCAAGACTGTACCTCTTTATGGGAGCAGATAGCCTCATCTTTCACCCGTTGAGCAGTTGGTGGGTTAGAACCACTGACCTTGGCTTAACCCATTTTGGGGGAATCATATCCTCATTGTAGTTGGACCTAGATTATGCCAGTAAAACAACTAGACATTTTGCACTTTCATTAAGAAGTTCCGTTCTGAATCTACTCTCGTAGATATTGATTAGTGATGATGAGGGTGATATATGTATGTACATCTCCTGAACACACATACCATATATTCATATATTCCTCATATTCATTGTTTACTCTGCGCCATCTTCGATATGGCTGTCTTATTGATAACTACTCATAGAGAAATCACAGTTTATCAAGCAGCACCAGGGCTCCTAGTAGCCCCTGATGAATAATCCGTGTTACTTATATTCATGATGACCTATCCCACAGCTATGCAAACTGAAATAAAATACTTGTTTAAAAGTCTCATCGCTTTAGGCCAGGGCGTTTCCAGCCCCTCCGTGGGCACGGCGACAGCCATGCTCGTGGTCCTGCCTTGTGGCTGGCTACGAGGTTGCCTGGGAGCTTTAGCTCCATCGGCCAAGGTGGTGA